GGGGGTGGGGGGGGGGGTGTCTGTGTAAGGTAGAGGTACTAAATAGCTGCCCCACTGAGCAGAAAGTTAGTGCTTCTGTCTCACAGATGCCACCCCCATGTCTTGGAAGTGTACAGGAAAGCGAGACATTCATCTCTAAACCTTTTTATAGCTCCATTAAAGAGACCATGTTTCAAGTACTTACCATGCACTTTAATCCCTAGTTCTTTACATAAAAGTTTTTACATTTTTTTTTTTATAGCATTCTAATGTATGTTATGGTAATTTTTCAGGAGACACGAAGAATTAAGCAGTTTCATTATGTGAACTGGCCAGATCATGATGTTCCGACTTCTTTTGATTCTATCTTGGATATGATTAGTCTAATGAGAGATTATCAGGCTCATGAAGATGTACCCATATGTATACATTGCAGGTATGAGAGAGTAACAGATCTGCAAAGGGTTGTGATAAGGGGAAACAAATGTCAAGTTTTAGCTAATAAATTTAAAACAAATTACTTACCGTATTGCCTTGTTATAAAATAGCTAAGACAAGGAAATGCTAACTTGTTTTCTTTCTTCTGGATCTCCAATTTTGGTGACGTGTGGAATTATTAAAAAACAAAACAAAAAAAAAAACACCCAAAACCTATCATGGGAGGAATATGGGAGCTACCATTCCCATTCCTTGGCAAAGTGCTCGTTGCCTGAATATTATGCAGTTCGCCAGCTTCCATTGTCTCTAAAGCTGGCCATACACCTATAAATTATCTGCAGATTCTCTAAGGTCAGATGGAAAAAGTGCAACAGATTCGTCTATCTACGCTAAACTGTGTGGCCCTGCTGGCTGTCAAAATACCTGAACAATCTTATTGGATGTAGGCATTGTTCAGGTATTTTGAGAGCCAGTGGGGCCGACTAGCAAGATACTGAAGCTTGGCCCAGTGGGAGATTCCTCCATCCCCACAGTTAAGCGTAGATGGAGGAATCTGTTGCAATTTTTCCATCTGATCCATAGAAAATCTGCAGATAATCCATAGGTGTATGGGCAGCTTAAGGGTCCATTTGCATTATGTGTTGTGGTAACCATGTGGTATGACGAGCTGCATTTGCCATTCATTTGGAATGGGCTGGCAGTGCACCTTACGGAATCGGACATGTACCATTTTTCAATGTAGAGCAAGCAAAGCATGGCGTGTGTTGTAGTGTGTTGTAGTGTGCTGCAGTGCAGGGGGTATCACTACTATGATTCAAAATAATGGCAAAATACTGTATGTTACGTTATATGAGGGTAAATCTGAAAATGTTGAGATTCAAAACATAGACACATTACAAAGTGACGAGTCATGGAGCTGCAATGAGGGCACTACCGCTCTATGATTTTAAAAACATACGGGAAAGCCCGCTACAGCAATCACTCCAGAAAACGTGGCCCCTGTCCAGAAAATGATGGACAACCGCTCTCGTTGCAGCTCCATGACTCGTCACTTCGTAATGTGTCTTGCGGCTGCTGGAATAGTCCAGGCGGAATGAAACTGCTGTGCATAAGTTTCTAAGATGTTGAATTTCAACACATGCGCAGTAAATAATTCGTAAACTACTTATGTTTTGAACATCTCAATGTCAGAGTTACCCTCGTATAACACCCTTTACCACACATTACTGCACATCCAAGATCTGAAATGGCCTTAATGTTAGCTGTCATGATGACCCTGTGTATTCAAGTAACAAGTATTTTTAGAAGTAGAGGTCAACAATGGTAGTCTCTATATGACAGGTTTCTTTTAAAGATGGCATGAGTTAGGATTTGTCATTTGATCAACTAAACACAAATTGCTAAAACTCATCCGATGCTGACATTTCTGTACTTTACCTTTTTCTTAATTACATGGACTTTTGTTTTTGACACATTGTTTACAATGGGCCTGGAAGTTTGTAATGCTACCTAAAGTCTATTTTACATGCGGACCTCCTCCCCCTCCCTGGCAGCTGGTTTATCAAAGCTGATAATAAAAAAGCCAGAACACTTCGATGTAACTGGCATTGGGCCCCTCCAGTGATGGGCCACCTGCTGCTTCCTGGCAACTTCTTCCTAGTGGCAAGGTGGGTAGCGGTGGTCTGTGTGAGGTAGAGGCACTAAATTACTGCCTTACTGAATAGCCAGTTAGTGCCTCACACAGATGACGCAACCATATCTAGGAAATGTCCAGGAAGACGTGAGGCATTCGCCGCCAATCCTGGTTACAGCTATGTATTTTAGCACTTTTATTATCAGGTTTACATAAGCTGCAGCAAAAGAGAGGGAGGTATGCCCTAAGGTAAACGGGATCCTGTAACAGAAAATATGGAGGGTAATCAGATATCAATTACTTGGCACAGAGTTAGGTGGTGAGAACTAATCCTTTGCTCCCAACAATTTTGAGTTCTTATACAAGTGACTGGGGTGACCACTTCTACAGATCAGTAAACTTTGCAACCTTGCCTACTGTCACTGGAATACAGTAGCCAAAAATAAAAGTTCATGTATTCTATTTGGGTGTTGTGGGTTGGTGTTGCTTTGTGCAACATCATAGCCATTTACACTTGATCAATTATAAGGTTTTTAGGTGAACGTTAACCAGTGCACATAGAACACACACACACACCTAGTTAAGTATACTTTTATTTTTCTATTCTTATACAGTGCGGGCTGTGGAAGGACAGGGGCTATCTGTGCAATAGATTATACATGGAATTTGCTTAAAGCTCGGGTAAGCAACATAGTTTACATTGCATAATTGGCAGCTTTTATTCTATTAAACAACATATTTACTGAGTTTCATTTCTTTTAGAGAATACCTGAAGAGTTCAATGTGTTTAGCCTAATTCAAGAAATGAGGACACAGCGACATTCAGCAGTCCAAACCAAGGTATACAATGAAGTGATGCATATTTCCATCATCAGCCTTTTTGTTCAATGGTGAAAGTGATGCATGATGTCTGTCCCTCTCCCTCTGTGGGTATTGCCGTTCCCACCTCCACTCTTACCAGACTTGCTGAGTAATGCAGCAGCTGCTTCTGGGGGTGATGTCAAAAACTGAGGTTCTGTGTTTTTAAAAACAGAAGCTAATTCTGAGATTCAATGCAACATTATAACATGATTGTTACTTTTGTATTTCTCGTTTCATTCATATGCAGATCAAAGGAATGACCTTTGATCTGCATATGAGATCATTTGATGCAAACTCACAGGAAAAATGAATACAGTTTCTTCTTACTTAGCCTTTTTTATAACCCCTAGTTAACCCTTATTTTTGTTTCTGTTTTAACCATTTAATATTTAAACATCCCCGTTTAAAAAAAAAAAAATGCTTTGTGCCAGCATCTTAATTTTAGTGTCATAAACGGGACAAATTATAGCATAATATTTATACTTTACAGTAACACATTATTTTAAAACTAATCAAAGTAGGGATTTTTTTTTTTTTTTAGGTTTCTTTTTGCATAGAAAAGAAAATATTTTTTGCAAAACAATATCATGAAAAGAAAGCCTTGTTCTGTAAAAAAAACCCCATAGTTTAGCTGAAGTAATGACAAAGTTATCACCAAATAAACAGGCACATAGCCGAAATGTAAAAAATAGCTCTAGACCAAAAGGTATATACAGGTGCAAGAGCTGAAGTAGTTTTCAATGGCAGCAACACACTCCTGCCTTGGGTGCCACTTAAATATATTAACGCACCTATGGGAATGTCTACTCTTAACCAGTTGACATGCGCGGTGTTAAACCCCCTTCCCATCCAGGCCATTTTTCAGTATTCAGCACTGCGGTACTTTGACATTTATTCCGTCAAGCAGCGCTGTACTGAAATGAATTTTATACCCTTTTTTGGGGACAGATAGAGCTTTGTTTTGGTGGTATTTATTCACCACTGGGGTTTTAATTTTTTTACTATAAAGGAAAAATCACCGAAATTAAAAAAAAAAACAGTTTCCCCTATATTAAATGATAAAACATTTATTATTACCCAATTTTTTGGTAAAATATAAAAGACGGGGTCACGTTGGATAAAAAAGACACCAAACATGTCAAGCCTTAAAATTGCGTGCGCGCGCGCGAAACCTCAAACGATAATACCCAAAATTGGCCATAGGCGACACTTTAAAAGCTGTTACCGCTCATCAGTTTAGTGTTAGCAGTGATTGATGGCCCTAAAATGATTGCTCTCACTGCGACGTTCGCGGCGATATGTAACATGTCTAGCGCAATTGTCGTTTTTTGCTCGCTGGGGCACCGGGCACGTATTTACGTTTATCTGTGTTTGCATTGGTCGGGTCTTTTCTGCCCGTGCGTGCCCGCTAGAGCAGAAAAAAATGCAACCCGCCAATGCTGCAGAGCCTTCCGTCCGTTTTTTACAACGGGCGGACGGCAAGTGGTTAAAGAAGAACTGCAAGGGTTAACTGCTCGTTTGTGTATAGGTGCTAAAAAAAAAAGCTATACTCATCGGATCAGTCAAGCTGGCTTTCTCTTAGATCAGATCCTAGAGCCTCTCTCCCCCTTCTCTGCAGCGGTCTAGGAATCCTTGTGTCCTACCGAGAGAGTACTCGTGCAAATACTCGGATACAAAAAACGAGTACCTGTGCCGCGTCCGCCATCTTCAAGGACCCGAAACCGCAGCACTGCATGGGGGCTGGGCACAAAAATGCTGTTTAACTGCATATAATATTTTACAAAGAAGACCTAAGACATTAAAATAAAGATATAGCTATGTAGATATTGCTAACTAAGGCGTGTATCCCCCTAGTGGGGAAAATAGATGAGCACATGTCCAGACTCCAGAACAGTGTATTATTGTATAGTGTGGCACAGCTGTATCCAATTCTGCATACCTGGCTTTATATTATAAAGTTCTTATAATATAAAGCCAGGTATGCAGAATTGGATATAGCTGTGCCACACTATACAGTGTTCTGGTCTGGAGTCTGGACATCTGTGGAGTCTGTGATCATCTATTTTCCCCACTATGGGTATACAAGCCTTAGCAATGGCATGATAAATATTAATTTCATGTTCATTTCATGTTCTTCATAATATTAAGAAACTGACCTAAAATCATGATTTTGTATTGCTTTAGAAAAAATGTGACCTGTCCCTTTAAGAAAAAGTATCGGTTATTGGTATCGGCGAGTACTTGAAAGAAAGTGTTGGTACTCAGTCTTAAAGTGGTATCGAAGCATCCCTAAAATGTACCTTCTGTTGACTGACTCTCTGCCTCTTCTGAAAGTCCAAGCATCATCTACTCTTTTTTGGTTAAAAAATTTACGCGCGTTCTGGCTATAGTAATCCGCCCAGAAAATCGTGCTTGGACTTTTTTGCGGGACGCCTGTTTTCATACCACGCGGTTGTCTCCATAGTGTGCACAACACACATGGGAAATAATTATTTTTTATGTTTAGCGCGTGCTAATGTGTGAGCGGAGCCTTAGATGTTTTTTTGTGGAGATTCCAGGCTACTGTGAGCAGTTTGTCCCACTCTACTTTTACTCACAGTCTTGAGCTTCCTCTCATTAACATGCAATGCTTCTAAGTCACACACCCTTTGTTAGGACAGACAGTGTTCACATCTAGTTTACAACTAATCATGAAATCTGCCAGCACAGTACAGACAGGGTTAATTAGAGTAACCATCACTTCACACCAGCCCCCTCCATTACATCACAATTGGGGTTAGCTAGGGAGGATTTTAATCAAGTAAAAAGCACTAAAAAATGCAGCTTTGCATGTGTTTGCTGCAAAAGTAGAAATACACTTTAAGGCTAGTTTTGAACTTTCCTCGTCCTAGGAATGGTAAAGTATTTTCACAGCAAACTTGTTGAATGTGAAGGAAAATATAGTAGAGAACGGACATGATTCTACCAACTGCTGGCTGCAAGCATGTGACCTATAGAATTGATATTCAATAGTTTTATATTCTCCAGACTAAAGAGAAATAAAAAAAATGTTTAAATTTTTAGTCCTGAACATAACTATGCATACATTTTTTAACTATTATGTGATCTATTTTTTTTCCTTATATCTATGTACTTTTTCTCTTTCCAGGAGCAGTATGAACTTGTGCATCGTGCTATAGCCCAGCTATTTGAAAAGCAGCTCCAAATGTATGAGACTGAGTCTAGGAAGATAGTGGATGGATTGGTATGTACAGCTCTCTGTGATTCAATGCACTGATAGATAACATGTCATGTAAACTGTTTATTCTGGAACAAGAAGTCACACTGTTGCAATGCTACATACATATGTCATTATGTATCCAGCTTGAACACTACTTCTTTCACACCCTTTCATAGATGAAAGTCAGCAGGGCCTGTCCTCTTTTCTTGCATCTGTTGCCAGGTGCACATATACTTTCAGCCATGGCCCATGGATGGTTCCATGATGCTCTTATTCAAACCAGCTCCAGATACAGCTTAATGCTCTAGCGACTAACGCAGTAACTTTTTATTAAATGACAAGTTGCCCCATTTAACACAAAGATGTTCCCTGTCATCTGCTTATAAATGATTGATGAGGATTAAAGGAGAACTATGATGTTAAGGCTTTCCCCCATAGTTCTCAGGGTAACGGAAGGACACAAACTAGCGTCCTCCCGTCACCCTAGGCTCAGTATACCGCAAGCTGCAGCTCGCAGTATACTAAGACGCCGCAGCTGAAGCGGATCCCGACAATTATGTCTGGATCCGCCCAGCTGCGTGACTGACAGCTAGCTCAGCCTACCTAGAGGCAGAGCCAGCTGTACCTGCCCCCTCCCCGTCCGTTCCGCCAGTCAGCGCTGGCGGATCGGAGCGGGGGGGAATCCAGCCCCTCCCCCTGTCACGGCAGAGAGCCTCCTGATCTACTGAGCCGCCTGTGACAGTCTCATTGTCACAGGTCGGCTAGAACTATGAGGTGAATGAAAGCACTCACCTCATAGTTCTCCTTTAAATGAGAAGATATGGCAAATAAAATGACGTCACCTTAATAAAGCTTTTCTTTTTACTTCATACATCTTCCTGGTAAAAGTGATCAAATCTGGTAGGATGGCAAGTAAATGTGAGAGTTCCTTAAGCAGCTTTATATAAAGTTCTAACCATCAGTATTTCCCTAGGAAAACAACAAAATAGTTTAGTTTTTTTTTATAGACCAGTCCCTTAACGTCACCTGTTTACATAACGTCATTGTGGTGTGTGCTGAATCTGTAAATGGTGCTGTTACTACCGAACATCTGCTGTTGGCAGGATGAAAATACAGAGAGCCAAACTGCTTGCACAGAGAGTGAGAAAATGGATTCTCCCCCACCAAAGCCACCGCGGATACGGAGGTAAGAAGTACACTAACGTTTACCCCCACTGGCTTAAATCTGTCATAAGTAATGCAATGGACCTGTACCAGAGGCAATGCCGAATTCCATTTTCATTTGTGATTGCAGTTTTGTATACCATACTTTTTATAGGACTTGCAAGTAGCTTTTTAAACACTGGATTCTAATAAAGATGCATAGTAGTCTGTGTAAATGAACAGGCTTACTGATCATTATAGAAATGTCTTATCGCAGAAATGCCCAGTATAGAAATTGGGAAAGATGGCTGTACACTGTTATCTAATGATTTGACTTCTAGGAACTATACATTTGAAAGTGCAGCTTTTGCAGTTTTATTGTGTTTAGTTCCTGAAAACATGCCAATTGCTTTTTATATTTAAACAAGGAAAAGCATCTTGTGCTGTCTTCACACAATTACACACACAGTTTGCTTTGTATTGCTGCTTTGGGGTGAATAAATGTCACGATTACGGTTTGTTTAGTTGTTGCATAGTGGTTTCCTTTTACTGTTGGTACGGCATGGGGGAATGCGCCAGAGGGTGTATTTTACTGCATTCTAGTGGGGCTTTTGTAGGTAGGAGTTTTATCTTGCAGCAGAGTTTGCATAAGGAATATATACTATATGTAGTTTGAATGTTCTCTGTTTGTCTCAGAAGCA